CATCATTCACAAGCGCTCGGATGGGGTTGGGCTTCTGTTGAACACGAATCACAGCACGGTGGGCAGAATTTATGGGGTATAGGGCTCTACGCGGTAGTTTGAAGTATGTGGCAAATGAACAGAGTTTAAGGTTCAAGTTTGTGTGCAGCTTCTACCCCCAGGCAAAGTAGCAGAGCCCCGCCACATGCGCAGTTCATGTTTGGCAAGTCTCCAAACAACGTATATTTCTGGCCCGATGTCATGCCCTTATTAGGGAAAACTCCTATTGATATTCAAATGCATGTGAAATGCAGGCGAAAGAAATTGATTTATCGAGCGCGTCGGGGGAGGGACCTGTGATACATGTTCAGGCATTTGGGGCTTTCAGTCAGCGCGCAGTGTGCTCGATAATGAGGCACACAGCGAAGTTTTATTTGCAGCGAGTTGTACGGTCTCGGACCTTCGAGAATTCACGAGGTTTCGCGAGCGTTCGGCAGTGCCCCTGGAAGATCGACGAGAAACCCGTTTTCGCGGCAGTGTTGGGCCAACATGGAGGGGTGAGTTTTGCTTTGCAAAAAAATATATTAGAGCTCGTAGAACCATTTAGCAAGTCACATTGGAGATTCTCTCGCCCGGGGAAGCTTGCCATGAATGCGTAGGATCCGCAAAATCTACCGGTGTTCCAATTGCAAAGGAATGGAGAGACACAAACGTTAATTTTTCTCAGGATAAAGTCAACGTTGATGGGGACCAACCTCTGAAGGATTCGGGACTCGTTGGGGAGGGCTGACAACGCGCAAATACAAGGTACGTGACGCATCACACTTCAAGTGTCATATTTCACCAAGACAGTACACTCAACCAAAAAAGAAATTTTCAAAATTTCTCAAAAACTACTGGGCACATCTTGCTCACATTACAACTGATCAGTACGAACATTTCCTTAGCAATCCAGTCATACTCTTTGTTTGGCCCAAAACAGTGATAATGTGTACAAAATTATGCAATTTATGACAAATGGTACCAAAAAAAGTTGCACTTTTGTACATCTGCAAGGTGAGTGTAAACCACTACTTGCACGTATACAAAAGTGAAACTGTTTTCGATAATCATCTGTAATAAATTGCAAAAATTCGTACACATTATCACTGTTTTCGGTCAAACAAAGAGTATTGCTGATTGCTAAGGAATGTCTGTACTGATTAGTCCTTATTTTAGCGAGAGGTGCTAAGTAATTTTTGAGTTAGAAAAAAAAAGTATTGGAAGGGGGACTTTCTTTTTTGGTTGAGTTTATGTGACTCATAGTTTCATGGTTCATACTTCCTTTTACTAAGTGTAAGACTATAATACATTAATTTTCTTCAAGAATACTTGAATATCATTAATGTGCAGGGTGAGTAAAAAAAAAACCCGAAACCCAAATGTCGGGACTATTGTTTTATTGAAGTTCTGCATGAAGCATTTTTAAAATCTAGGACATAAAAGCCAAATTCATGAGTTTTCTTTTCAGTACAAACATCTTTCAAATCACTTATGTACTTTTCAAGTTACGGAATTTTAAACACAACCACCCGTTTTAAAGTTCTGTCCACGTATCACAAAAAGGTGTGCATTCCTTTAGCAAAACGAAAACAATTCATACACATCCCTATATAATTTGTTTTCGTTTTGCTAAAAGAATGCTGAACTTTTTTTGTAATCCGTTGACAGAACCTTAAAACGGTGGTTGTGTTTAAAATTATAAATGTAACTTGAAAAGTACGTAAGTGATTCAAATGATTCTTGTACTGAAAGTGCTGCATGCAGAATTTCACTAAAACAATGGTCCCAACATTTGCGGTTTTTTTTATTCACCCTGTATTATGGTCATACACTTAGTAAATGGATGTATGAAACTATAAGAGTCACATACTTTCTTGGTGACATTGGGCATTTATCCAAATCTGAGAGTACCATGAAGTCAAATATCATAGCCACAGTTTTGGATATGCAACAAGGGCTGCCGATTTTGCACGGCCGAGCGATATGAAAAAAATATCTTTGTATTTTACCACCTCCTGAATTTCGAAGATGTTAGTTTTGTATTGATATTTGGTACAATCGCTGTATATTTACAAAGAAAGATGATAGAAATATTTTTGAGTACGTACAGAACAAATGTTCCGGGTAGGCTGCTTTTCTCATGTCTCGTTTTGAAACGCAGAACCTGTACGGTTTTGTTTGCCAATTGCAGAATAGAATGTCTGTCCCGTTAATCCATTTTTCAATGTTTTTCTGCTATTTGTCTCGTTTATGCTTCTATCAGCGTCCTTTTTAAAACTTCTAGCTCATAGCCCTGGTGAAAAAAATACTGATATTGCTCAATCCGTTCATAAAATATCACCATTTAAACGCGATGACCCTAAAACCTGTTTCTTTTACAATAAAAGCAATATACTGTGTATTCTGAATGTTTGGAAAAAAATGACACAGAATACTTGTTTCAACAACTGTCAACAACTGTAGTATATACAATATCTTCATTAACACCTTGCTTAGGCAAATAATATGATTTATAAAATCCACTTTTTTGAAAAGATGTGCCTTCTAAATGACTTTTTTTAATATCTTTAACTTTTATACCGAGGTTTTATCGAAGGTGATGTTTGAAGACAATTGCGACGACGATTCTTGAAATCGCATTTTTGACGAAAGAGGATAGGGTCATTGTGTTCAAATGGTTATATTCTTTGAACGGATTGAGCAACCTATCCATGTTCACGGGCCACTGTCAAATGACATGTTTCCGCCTCTGTCGCTCTACACAATACATGTCTGTCCCGTTAATCCATTTTTCAATGTTTTTCTGCTATTTCTATCGTTTTTGCTTCTATCAGCGTCCTTTTTAAAACTTCTAGCCCATAGCCCTGCACCACTCTGTACACCCGGCTACAATTGAGACCAATTTTTTTTTTTCAACAACACGATTTCAGAGGTTTGCCCAACATTCATTGTAGATAACCGTGAATGAGAGTACTTGTAACCATACTTGAATTAAGCCTACATAACTCTAGATTCCATTTCAATATAGACTAAAACAAATACCGATAGCTTTACATCGGAATTGATTAATGCACTTTCAAATGGCGTAAAATGGCTGAATTGTTGATATCCGATAAAAACAAATGTTTGCTCACCCCATCAAATCCCTCCCTAAGTTTCAGCTCATGGTCAGGATACTGCTCTCGAAATATATTATTTCGTACGTCACTGAGAGTTAACTTGGTGAGTTTGGTTGAGGGCCAGTGCCGTTGATCCCGATGTGAAACCAAAATCTCCGAAATGTTGTTGAAACGACTTAAACGACGTAAAATCACTTATTTACGGGGGAGAAATCTAGCAAAAAAAATGTTGTTTGTGAAAGATTTCAACCTGAATCATTTGTTTCAGTGTTGCATTTTTCAGATTACGGTGTGGAAATATTATGCCATGTCAATCAAGTTGGATTTTTCATCTTTTAATGCACTGATTCTGGCAATCTTTGAAGTCTTTAAGTCACTGACTTCTAAGTTATTTTGAGTTGCATTTAGAAGTTGTTTTGGGTATGCTCAGTATAATGCAATGATAAAAGTATAGTATGTTGTTTTTATCTCCAAATGTTTTTCAACATTTTGATTTATTGAAAGATGAGTTATCGCTTTCAATAAATTTGTCATTATTCAACTCTTTTAAAATTATAGATGAGTATTTTAGCCAACACGTTAAAAATCCTATCCCCTTAAATACTCAAATTGAAACTTGAACAGTCATGTTCAATGTGTTTGTATACTTTATTTCTTAGAGAGGCACCAAATATATAGCACCAAAAATAATAATGACTGTAAAGACAATTTCATAATCTACTTTTTGATGAAACAAATACTGATATTGCTCAATCCGTTCATAAAATATCACCATTTAAACGCGATGACCCTAAAACCTGTTTCTTTTACAATAAAAGCAATATACTGTGTATTCTGAATGTTTGAGAAAAAAATGACACAAAATACTTGTTTCAACAACTGTCAACAACTGTAGTATATACAATATCTTCATTAACACCTTGCTTAGGCAAATAATATGATTTATAAAATCCACTTTTTTGAAAAGATGTGCCTTCTAAATGACTTTTTTTAATATCTTTAACTTTTATACCGAGGTTTTATCGAAGGTGATGTTTGAAGACAATTGCGACGACGATTCTTGAAATCGCATTTTTGACGAAAGAGGATAGGGTCATTGTGTTCAAATGGTTATATTCTTTGAACAGATTGAGCAACCTATCCATGTTCACGGGCCACTGTCAAATGACATGTTTCCGCCTCTGTCGCTCTACACAATACATGCAATAAAGCGCATTTATTATGAACCAGATTAAATGGCCATTATTGCCATTGGCGCTCCAATGGGTCGTGTAGCAAGAAAAAGAAAACACTTGTTGCAATTTGTTAATTCAATTTACTTAATCCTGAAAATTGTATTTCTCAATAACGATATTAAAAAACAACACTTTCACATTTAAATATATACTCAACCTGACAATTAATGTGAACTTTAACAATGAAACTTACTTTGATAATTTTGGTAATTTACGTTCAACTGGACATTAAACAGCCGTATGTAATGCAAGATCGCGTGACCGTAATACACGCGCAAATTAATCGGAAAGCAGCAAGCTTGCCGCGCCTGACACTTATTCACGACTGATTGGCAGATTACACTCATTTTTTGGACCAAATCATCCATAAATATTGGCAAATTATTGCTAAGTGTCATGTATCAGTGTTTTAAGTTGACGATGGTGATGCTCGTGGGGCCATATTCACGACAATGTTGCCAGTGAATGAGCAAAAGAGGGCCTGTGCCGACATCGACGTCAGATTGACGGCCACGTTGTCATTGCAGTCGGACTCACGGGGCACAACTTGACACTTGCACTTGCAGCGCAAACCCTGTACGGCACAGTCGCGATCGCCGTCGAAGCCTGTGGTTGGCTGTGGACCCGGATTGTCATCGACCGGTGAGTGCTCGCAGTGAAGTGTCGTCTGCGGAACGTCGGCTGAAGCCGGGATCAACCACGTTGTGGAGGGCAGCGGACATTGTCTCTTTCTGCTTGTCAGAGGCATCTCGTCAGTAGTGCTTGATGGAGGCTTCGTTTCGGTGACCGGACAATGTCATGATGGTGCGGCTGTCCAACCCTGCCTCATTCAGCTCTGTAATTGCCGAAGCTCTGATGCAGTGGTTGGTGTAGGTCAAACTCAACTCGGCCTCTTTGGAGATGTCCTTCATCATGATACCGATTTTGTTCTTGCCAAGCGATGGTTTGTAGTACCATGGATGTGCTTCTGTGAGGAGGACTTGTCAGGTGGCGATGGATGGCAGCCCTCATTCCTCTTAGCGACTGTGGTGAGTAGGCTGTTCCAACTTTTTTTTGTTTTGCCTCAGCGTGGAATCGACGCAGAAGTGAGGCCAACTCAATCACATCGAGACCTTCGAAATATGGACTTTCATCAACACTCTGACACCAATCTTTCAATTAAATAAACATTTATCAAATTAAGTATCAAAAACTGGAAATATGTACAGTACAATCCTTTGGTACACAAGTTACATAGAATACGGGCGCCTACATTCTTTTTTTTATATTAATCTTTTGGCAGTTTTGTATTTTTTTAAATTATTTGTTGCGAATAATTTTCCGAGGTTATGCTTAGGCCCTACTAGACGTTGGCATACATGCCTTCACACTTGTGAAAATTCAAATACAGATTAAACTTGGCCTAACTTTTTTTAAAGCTTTAATAAGCAGCTTTAGAATTGCTGCAATATTTTTGAATTGTAATCTTGGGGCAATCCTAATAGGCCTACATGCTTTAACATTTTGGATAAAAAATTCAAATAATGTTTTTTTCCTCATAAAATAGCCTCTAGTTTCGCTTATTTTATTTGAGAATGATGAGCCTATTCAAGCATCAACGTGTTTTGAAAGGTTTATATATGCATACAATTGTGTCTTTTTTAACAACTCCAATCATTTGAACAAATTAAAATAAAATAATGGCTTGATAGCTTTGCCACTTGTATTTTAAAAAAATGTCAAAAAAATACCCGCAAATAATAAATATGCCCTTACCAAATACCTAAGCAATAAAGTAAAAACAAAAAACAAAAACTCCCAGACCTACCTTGCAAGATTTTCACACCACATGTTGCAATATAAGAGGTGCTCTTCTTATTCGTTTGACCTTCCAATGCTGAAAGCTGTGCATCAGTCAGGTGGTCAAATCTAGCACTTTCAGGTAAATTTTCTTCATCTTTTTCTTTATTTTCTGCTTCTTGACTCTCTATTTCATTCATTGCCATCAAATCGTCCTCAGTGATATCGTCGAATTCAAAACCAAGGTCAAAATCTGCAAGTGTTGAAATAAATTGTGAAAATGTGTTTATTTAAAAAATTGATTAATAAAAAGCAGACAATATTTTCACATGAACTTTTCAGGCTTGGTTAAGAGGTTTGCATTTATCGCTCTTTTTCAATGGTCTTAAATTACAATTTATTTGAAAATGGTTTTAAATTTAATTATTTTCTTACCCCAAATTCCCTGAACTCCAAAACCCACCTTTTTCGGGGATCTTCTTTCACAAAAGTAAATAACTCTCGAAATTATGACGCCTCAACAAAAACAGCACGGAGAAAGCAGACGATATTTCTACATCAACTTTTTCAGGCTTTGCCAAGAAGATAATATGTATTAATCCATCTTGTATTGTTTTAAATTACAACTCATTTAAAAATTGTTTTAAACATGATTATTCTCTTACCCCCAATGTCCCTGAGCTTCATAACCCACCCACCTTTGGGGCATTAATTTAGCTTCTTTGATTAAAATAGCTAGTTTTCGAAATTGTGACATCACTCCAAGTGCGGAATGATGTGCAACTGACGCGAAGTGGGAATAATGTGCAGGGGCCACCTTTGTTGCTAGTGGTCTTAAACACTTCTAGCCTCGTCTTTATCATCCGTTTAAGACCGGCATGTGACTGGCTTTAGACCAGTAGGAATGCGTAAACTGTCTTAGGTATTTATGAATCTGGCTTTAAGTGTATCTATGTTTGGTTTGGACAAGGCAGAAAAACCATACACTGATCATTTATTGAAAATGTGGGGTATGAGGCAATGGAGCGAAACAGAAAATGACCGTTTGTGACAGACCTTTGGCTGTTTATCTCAACGTATCTCGAGAACCCAATGTCAGAGCACACTGGGGTAGCGGTGTTGTAAAGGGGATTAAGTTTTCGTTCCATTCATATAAGACTTGATTTCATTGAATAAGAAACCAGTGATCTTTTTAGGTCAAAGTTTTCCCCAATGACAGGATTTCTTGCAGAGGTCAGTTGTCTGAGCGCACGTGGCCAGCGCGTTGCATGTGGTATGCAAACCGTACGGACTATTGGACAAGCTGTGGAGCTGTCTCGCACACATTAATCTTTTGCGCGTTTGGGCCCCAAACTTTTCATTATGTAAAGCAGGCACGGATCCGGGTATTTTCGGTAAATTAACACGTAATGCAGTGGACACAAGAAATATGTAAACGAAATTTCAGCTTTCTCCGTCACGTAAACATATGAAATGTTTCTTGTTGCAATTGTGTTCGCTATGGCAGCAGAATTTCAAACCTTGGATGTCAGTCGTAATGCAATAAAGACGCAGGTCGTCCAACCTGGGCAGGCTATAGGGCGATAATAAAATGCATAAAATATGGCCCCTGAACATGCACACAAATAGTCTTGAAATATCGCCGAAAATAAAGTCACACCTTTTCGAGCATTTTAACTGTTTATTTCGTTGAAGATATTTATTATAATGGAAAGAACAAATTGGGGACCCGGTCTTCAATGCGTGATGATGACCGAGTTGTGTGATGGCCTTCGGCTCGGTCCGTTAATAGCGCGACCATCACCAAACCCGGTCATTATCACTCAGTGAAGACCGGGTCTTCGTAGTGTTATTCCCTAAATCAAATGCCAATAACCCTCCTCAGGCAGGTCCCAATGGAAAATTAGCGCGAGAATGGACGAACATTTTATTTTCGTTTATTTACTCACCACAAAAATGTGGACTCCATGATTGATCCCTGGGGTACAAATTCAATGATCCTGCAACATCCTATACAGAAACGAAAATATGTATTGATTGAGCCACTTCTCATATAGTGCATTATGAAATGAAAACGTGTATTCGGGGCAGGTGCATACTTTATGAGGAAATGAAAATAAATATTTTCCTTTTTTTTTTAAACAAACAAAGCTTTGTTGTGTGCCGAGAAGTTCATTTCATTCCCTCGGTGTTTATATTTGAAGAGGACGAGTAAGAGTGTCATGAAAAACTATTGATAAGATTCGCTGTTTTTTCTTTCACATGGTAAATTGTTATGCCCTTGTACAGAGCACCCTACTCGCGTGCGCAGACATTTTGTAATAAAGTAATTCACAAAGTGACAACCATCATAAGCGTCAGTCAGTCAACGCGACAGTTTAGCAAGTCAGATGAATGTGATGAACCGTATGCTTCCTTAACTGATCAAAATTCAGCGGAAGGAAATCATAGACTTGTTGACAGTCAGTCAGTGACATAGCTCCATGTAACCAGTAGGCCTACTTCAAAATCAGGTGCCCAGTCTAATTCACGAGTGACAATCAGTAATTGAGAAAGTTTACGAAATCTGATTCACGAGTAACTGCGGATGTTTACACCATCTTCGAGGTAATAGATTTAGCTCGAGAATACTTTTTGTTTCATTGAGATTGCTTTTGTAAATCCAAAGATATGTTGGAATAACGGCAAAGCCACGAAGCCCATTTTGTGCCTTTTTATGTGAAGCGAAAAAATCAGTATAGTCCTAGTCTAAAACCAAATCACTTTACTGTTAGTGATTTGAACATTTTTAAGCAGAGTGTGCAATATTTATCTATATTTAATTCAACTCTTTCATTGAAGTTTTGATGAAGTGAACGTGTCTGTACTATTAAATTGTTTCAACATAAAAACACAACCCTATATTGTCCAGACTTGTATTCGAGTCATGAAACATCAAGTCCAAGTCCAAGTCCGAGTCACATTTCTCGAGTCCAAGTCCGAGTCCCGAGACCTCCAGGTCGAGTCCGAGTCCGAGTCACGAGTCACAAAGTTCGAGTCCAAGTCCGAGTCACGAGTCACCTCTAACATTATATTGGAAAAACGTACATTTTATGGAATTCAGAGATTCAGAGTCACCTTTGATATATCATTGGAAATACGTACATTTCAGGTCCTGTAAATTTCCATTTTCCCCAAAGCTTTTCTCTGGAATTTTCTCTGAAAAGGAGGAGTTCGTTTGCAAGAACAGTTATAAAGGCAATTCAGACAAACTGGTATTGGCCTAACTTATGCATTTAAAGTTCAGGTGTTTCAAATATCTTTTGATAGACTTCTATGTATGTGTGCGTGTGCAGTGCGGTAATTTCCGTCGAGTCACAAGTCAGTTCGAGTCCAAGTCCGAGTCCGTAGACCCGAGTCCGAGTCCGAGTCGTAAGTCAAAGTGACTCGAGTCCGAGTCCGAGCCACTAAAAATGTGACTCGAGTCGGACTCGAGTCCGAGTTTATATGCACCATTATTTTCAGTTTTTTTCTTATTAGTCTTTTCTTCTAAATGCTTTTGGAATAATTGTTCAGAGATCATGCCAAATGTGTTAATAATTCCAGTATTTCAAAATTATGATTACCTACGTGTGTACGGTTATTCTACTTGCAGACTAGTTGATCCTCATCATCTGACGCCCGACTTCAATCGCAAAGATGCAGGAAAACAGCCCTGGTCGGCGGGGTAAAGCTAGGATCTTAACCGAGGAGTACAACCACTCACTCGGCAAACTCATCGGCACGAAGAGGAGGGTTAAGCCAAGTCGTAAGGCGGCATTCATGGCCGCCTTTCCTGTTAAAGCCTCGCCAAGACTCCATTCTGATGAAGAGGGAGCATCCGTCCAGTCACGGAGAGATGCGTCAGTTAACCATTCTGAGCACGGCGAAACTTCGACAACAGAAGAAACAATCAGTAAAGCTGGAGTGAAGAGGTATTGCTCTCAAAATCTAAATGGACCAACTTTCTACTACATTCCTATCATACATGATATTTTTCTCCTGACGTATCAGGAGTAGTGGTTTTCAACACAGACCAAATAGAAATTCTTACCTGAATTCATTTTCATATTTTGTTTTTAATAAATTCGCATTTACATCTTTGTGTTTAACCTCATTTGGTTGACCAGTTCCAAGTAGGTTTCAATCTGTATCTCAAGCCCATTGCCAATTTGAATAAACAAAATACAATAAAGCAATTATGACCATTTATAATTATAACTATTCCTAAGTGTAGATTTGATTCTTATTTCTCCCATCCAAATCAACTCCATGTAGGCCTAAAACTAAGCAACCTTTTTTATTCGAGGTGAATATCTGACTTCGTTTCCTTGTAAACAACCGGCGGAAGAAACAATAATTAACAATAGAAACGCAGCAAAAATGAGCTGAATTAAAACAAAAAAAACAATTGTCAGAGTCTTGTAGCTTCATCGCAGTCACGAGATTTTTTTTGTATTTTCAATTTGCAGTCCCGTCGATGTGAGACAGAAGTTGCAGGTTTTTGTCCGAGGTCTCCTCTTACCAAAGACACTTTGCCTGCAAGTGGATCCAGAGACACCGGTATCTGATTTAAAGGCCTTGGTTGAAAGAGAGAGTGGCATCCAGCCTGAAAATCAACACCTTTACATCGGGAGAAACTTTCAGGTGCTGCTTCTATTATTACCATATCTATATTACTTTTTAAAAATTAAATTTATCTAAGACTTTAATGCAAATTCAATAACAATATCCCCAACTTTTTTTAATTGCATTACTTCAGTTTAAAAACTTTTGACGGAAGGCAGGATGAAAATGTAGGGGAATTTAGAGAGTGATTTTCCCTTTAAGTGTTATACTGCATCCTATGTGATTGTGACATGAGTATTAAAAACGGGTAAATTTCTGGCCAAAAAATAGTAAGACCTTCGGGTCCTCTGATACTGTTACGATTTGGAAATTTCATGCCAGTCCAATGGGTAAGCAGTGTGCCACAGTTTTGTCTCTAGAAATAACATGGAATTTCGTTAAAATTGGTTTGCAGCTTTGTGACCTACTCTCCATTCGCGACCATGGGATACAACAAGACCAGAACATCAAACTTCGCGCTGGCGGCTTGCTAGGCGGTGGACTATTAGGTAACTATATTGGGGCAAAAGGCCGCCTCAAAAATCAGTATTGGACTTTTCAAACGTGACTTATAAATGTCGCCCCAATTTCGGCATCACCCCTTTTGCAAATTTCTGTAAACAATATCTTAATCTGTAGAAACGGCGCCTATTGAAATCAGAGAGTGGGGTTTATTTTCTTTTAAAATGTGTGCATGTGTATGAAAGTACCCGGCTACATAAACATGATCAGTCTGATAATGATTAACCTCACCCTTGAGTGAAGAGGAGTCCACTTTCGTGTTAAGCTCCTAAAGTCGCCCTGCGATGGTTGACCATTTTATTTGATTTTGCATTCCAGAAGAGGAGCCGTCGAGAAACATATACTTCTTAAACTTGTCACGCGAGCTTGGACCACACTGGGAGAAACTTGCCATCCATTTGAGATTCTCGGTCAGTGAACTCGACACATTCATAAAAAACTACCCGCAAAACTCAGAACAGCAGAGCTTCCGGATGTTAGATACCTGGTGGAAGAAACAGGACAACCCCGCCGACGCTCCTGAGAAGCTGAGAGGCGCTCTGAAAGCAATCGACCGTGCAGACTTAGCATTGCAAACACCAGATATAAGAGCTAACCGAAAAGGTCAGTGTATTGTTTATTATTTTATGTGTTACGTAAACAAAGAATTGACTGGAATAGGGTTTGAACCTGCAACTCCGGATTACAGTTCCGGTGCTCTACCAACTGAGATATTCAGCAAATTGTCAGCTATCACATTAGATAACACAACTTGAGACAACAATCGCGTTGGTCTGATCGTGGTTTGTATTTTGTTATTACTTTTTGGCTGGATTGCATCCACACATTTATGAGCGTCCACGACCAAGTTCTGAATGAAAATCTTATTTGTCATTGCAGATTATGAGGTCGTGGCTGCAAATTCAGCTACAAAATAAAGAAAACACATAGCTACTGTCCGAACGCGTTTACTCTTCGCCAACTTATTGCATAAGGCCGCGTGAACTCATTGTTCGTGCTTCGTTTGTACATACAGTGTATGTATATTCATAGCTTGTGGTTTGAGTAGTGGCTAAACAGATGAATCGATGAATTCTTTACTAACACTGGCGCACATATTGGTATGGAGAATCCAATGTTCTAACTTCCCGATTAAAACATTTAAGCACTCAAGTTAGCATGCCGGTTGTATATGATGTCTGCTTATGGTCTGAACAGATGGTCTGAACAGATTGTGGTGGTTGCCTTTGGCACGGTTTGAAATCGACAAGAATTTGGAGTTGTCATTTTAAATGTAGGGACGTTTTTACTCATCTGCGATAGCTAATTACATAGCTGTTTCCCATATTGATGTCGTTTCACTATACAGACGTTGCAGAAACTTCTTTCGAGGTAAAACTGTGTGCAAGAGAATTGGCAGCGCATTACCGGGAGACGATGAAAGTGACGACACATCCTACAGAGAGACACCTGTCCAGAGAGATGGAAGACATCTACGTTAAACCACTGCTACTGCACGAGACCAACATACCCACTCCCGTCTCCACATCACAGACAAAGATGCAGTTAGAAACAGGCAGCCAATCGATGCACTCCAAAGCTTCGAAAAGAGGAACTTCCGATCCCCTTAGATCACAAGCTTATATGGACAAAGGGATTCCAGTCCAAAAAATTCCCCTTGACTCCTATGAAGACATGCTTAAGCTCAAAGGAAATCGATTATTAGTCATAGCTGAAGCGGGTTTAGGGAAAACAACACTTCTTAAAAAGATCGCATACGATTGGGCTGATCTAAAAACGGGGGATCAAACTGAAAAACAACAACAACCTGAGCGCACATCAGTCCTAGGTAGGTACGAGCTTGTCTTTGTGGTCGAGGTCAATCAAATGGGTGAGACATTTGACATCATAGACGCCATTTTCTCTCAAATAATTACAGACAGGAAACTAAGGGAGAGATTTGAAGGCCTAGAAAAATACATCATTGAAAATCCAGAGCGCGTATTAATTCTTTTGGATGGCGCTGATGAGATTTCTTTTCAAAGATTAAAAGTTGCACAGTGCAAAAGCGGAATCAGCTTGAACGATGTAGTTTCGTTTAAAACACTCAAGTCGTGCAAGGTTATAGTTACTAGCCGACAGAAGACGGCAAATGAACAGCTGTTGAGTATGCATGAACACTTCACCAAAATTAACATTGTCGGTTTTGACGAGGAATACAGGGCAAAATATGCGAGGAAATACTTGACAAATTTTAAAACAGATGATCAAAACCGTTTTCTAGCCAGGGTGAACGGATCCGAAACTCTTCGTAGTTTAGCAGAGATACCTCTATTTTTGTGGCTGATGTGCCACACATGGGCACATGAAGATAAATTGCCTGATCAAATAACTAGCCTTTTTCAGGATAACATGCATCTGCTTTATCAGCATAAGACCAGTAAAGAGACAGAGAAGCAAGTTTCTGACACCCAAACAGATGTCTCAAAACTTGGTATGATAGCTCTTGAGGGTCTGTTAGATCCAAATGGGGAGATGCTTCATTTCAGTGAGGATAAGATCGATTCAAAGGACCTACATATTTTTAAGAAAGGTTCTGATGTTGGCTTGTTGTCAAAAAGAAAAATATTTCGACGTCTTGAGACAGTTTCTTACTTTTCGTTCCTGCACAAGACTTTCCAGGAATACTGTGCGGCGGCATTTCTAGTAGATTTGTCAAGGACTGACGAAAGCACCTTTGACCAATACTTGTCTCGTATATTGCACGGTGATGTGGAAACATTGGAATACGTTCTGATATTCTGCTGTGGGCTGGACAAGATCGTCGCCGAGAAGATCTTAAGGCGCATTGAAGAACTCCTGAGGGGAAATAAAATGAACAAGTCCTTGCATAAAATTCTGATGTTACTCCTATTTGAGGCTCAGTCAGAGTCACTTGTGAAATGCTTTGTTGAGACTGGAAAGGTTGACTTTCCATATGAACTCCGAGGTGAAGTTCTCGTGGCTACGCATTATTTCTTTGAAGTCGGGTCCAAACATAAAACTCTGCACAACGTAGACATAGAAATAGTTAGTGCTGCATGTTTAGGTTTGGCTGATTTCATACTTTTAGAAAATATAATGACACACATACAATGTAAGCCGTCGCTGATACTTGAACTCACAAGAATCAGCTTGGATAGCTTTGTGGATAACTCGACAGAAACGCTAAGATACTTAAAGACTTTACATATACGTTACTGTGATTGGAACCTTGTAAAATTGTTTGAGGTGTTATCAAAAAACAACACACAAATAATGTTATTAGGAACAAGTGGCACCATTTCGCTTGATACAGTGTCTAAACAAAACATTGAAATACTTCCATGCCTGCAACAACTTGTTGTTTTCGACAGTGGTCTGACAAAGAGTGACATCGAACCATTATTTATTCTCCTTTCAGCAGCAGGCAGCATAAATACAGTTGTTTTGACAGAAACCGATCTACACGGTTTGCAGCCTATTGAGGTAACTGCTGTTCCTTCGCTGTCTTCACTACATCTCTATGAGTGTGGTCTGACACACAATGACATCGAGCCACTCTTCTCTCTTCTGTCAGCAGCAGGCAGCATAGAGACACTTGTTCTGAGAGGGAACAATCTACACAATTTGCAGCCAATAAACGTAGCAGTTGTTCCCTCTCTTTCTGTGCTACATCTCGGTCAGTGTGGTCTGACAAAAACTGACATTAACGCATTGTTTTCTCTCCTTTCAGCAGTAGGCAGCGTGAAGAAATGTATTCTGATGGCAAACAATTTACATGGTTTGCAGCCTGCAAAGTTCACAGCTGTTTCCTCCCTGACTGAACTACATCTTCATGAATGTAATCTTACAAAAAGTGATATTGAGTCGCTCTTTTTTCTCTTGTCAGCGGCAGGCAGTATAAAAGGACTTTTTCTGAAAGGGAACAATCTACACGGCTTGAAGTCTGATAATATAACTAATGTTCCTTCTCTGTCCGCACTACAACTCGATCAGTGTGGTCTGGCAAAAAGTGACATCGAGTCCCTTTTTTCGCTCCTGTCAGCTTCAGGCAGCATAAAGACACTTTTTCTGAACGGAGACAATCTGCAAGGTTTGCGGCCTGTGAATGCAAAAGCTGTTCCCTCCCTGACTACAATACGACTCCATCAGTGTGGTCTAACAAATACTGACATTGAGGCACTCTTCTCTCTCCTGTCAGCGGCAGGCAGCATAAAGACACTTTTTCTGAGCGAAAACGGTATACACGGTTTGCGGCCTATGAATGTATCAGCTGTTTCCTCCCTGTCTGAAATACACTTCGAAAAGTGCGGTCTGACAAACACTGATATTGATCCAATTTTGTCTCTACTAAAAGCAGCAGGCAGCATAAAGAAATGTATTCTGACAGCAAACAATTTACACGGTTTGCAGACAGAAAAAAACACAGCTGTTCCCTCCCTGACTGAACTACACCTACATGAATGTAATCTTACTGAAAGTGATATAGCGCCGCTTTTTGTGCTACTTTCAGCAGCAGGCAGCATAAGGACGGTTGCTTTGACAGAAAACAATCTACACGGTTTGCAGCCTACAAAGGTAACTGCTGTTCCTTCTCTGTCTTCACTACATCTATATGAGTGTGGCCTGACACACACAGACATTGAGCCCCTTTTTTCTCTTCTGTCTGCGGCAGGCAGCATAAAGAAACTTGTTCTGATTGGAAACAAACTACACGGTTTGCGGCCTATGCATGTAACAGCTGTTCTCTCCCTATCTGTGCTACAAGTTGAACATTGTGGTCTGACAAACACTGACATTGATCCATTTTTCTCTCTCCTTACAGAAGTAGGCAGCATAAAGAAATGTATTCTGGTAGCAAACAATTTACATGGTTTGCAGCCTGCAGAGATCACAGCTGTTCCCTCCCTGACTGCACTTCAACTCAATGAATGTAATCTGACAAAAAGTGACATTGAACCACTTTTTATTCTGCTTTCAGCAGCAGGCAGCATAAAGTCAGTTACTTTGACAGAAAACAATCTGCACGGTTTGCAGCCTATTGGGGTAACTGCCGTTCCTTCTCTGTCCTCACTTCATCTCTATGAGTCTGGTCTGACACACAGTGACATTGAGCCACTTTTCTCTCTTCTTTCATCAGCAGGCAGCGTAAATACACTTTTTCTGAGAGGAAACAATCTACAAGGTTTGCGGCCTATGCATGTAACAGCTATTCCCTCCCTGTCTGTGCTACAAGTTGAACAGTGTGGTCTGACAAGCACTGACATTGATCCATTTTTCTCTCTCCTCACAGCAGTAGGCAGCATAAAAGAATGCATTCTGCTAGCAAACAATTTACACGGTTTGCAGGTTGCAAAGATCGCAGCTGTTCCCTCCCTTAGAATAATACAACTATACGAATGTAATCTGACAAAAAGTGATATTGATCCCCTTTTTATTCTCCTTTCAGCAGCAGGAAGCATTAAGACAGTTACTTTGTCAGGAAACAATATACACGGTTTGCAGCCTATTGAGGTAACTGCTGTTCCTTCTCTGTCTTCACTACATCTCTATGAGTGTGGTCTTACACACAAAGACATTAAGTCACTTTTCTCTCTCGTGGCCGCGGCAGGCAGCATAAAGACACTTTTTCTGAGAGGAAACAATCTACACCGTTTACGGCTTATGAATGTAACAGCTGTTCCCTCCCTGTCTGTGCTACAAGTCGAACAGTGTGGTCTGACAAACACTGACATTGATCAGTTCTTTTCTCTCCTTTCAGCGGTAGGCAGCGTAAAGAAATGTATTCTGATAGCAAACAATTTACATGGTTTGCAACCTTCAAAGGTCACAGCTGTTCCCTCTCTGACTGAACTACAACTACATGAATGTTATCTTACAAAAAGTGACATTGAGCCCCTGTGTATTCTCATTTCATCAGCAGGCAGCATAAAGACAATCGCTCTGACAGGAAGCAATCTACAGGGTTTGCAATCCATTAAGGTAACTGCTGTTCCTTCGCTATCTGTACTACAACTCGATCAGTGTGGTCTGGCAAACTCTGACATTGATCCATTTTTTTCTGTACTTACATCAGCTGGTAGCATAAAGAAATGCGTTTTGCTAGCAAACAACCTACACGGTTTGAAGCCTTCAAAAATCACAGCTGTTTCCTCCCTGACTGAACTTCAACTACATGAATGTTATCTGACAAAAAGTGACATTGATCCACTATTTATTCTCCTTTCAGCAGCAGGCAGCATAAAGTCAGTAACTTTGACAGGAAACAATCTACACGGTTTGCAGCCCATTAAGGTAACTGCTGTTCCCTCGCTGTCTTCACTACATATCTATGAGTGTTGTCTGACACAAAGTGACATTGAGTCACTTTTCTCGCTTGTTTCATCAGCAGGCAGCATAAAGAAACTATTTCTGAGAGGGAACAATCTACACGGTTTGCAGCCTATCCATGTAACAGCTGTTCTCTCCCTGTCTTATCTACAACTACAACAGTGTGGTCTGACAAACACTGACATTGATCCATTGTTTTCTCTCCTTTCAGCCGTAGGCAGCGTAAAGAAGTGTATTCTGATAGCAAACAATTTACACGGTTTGCAGCCTTCAAAGATCACAGCTGTTCCCTCCCTGACTGAACTACAACTACAGGAATGTAATCTGACAGCAAGCGATATTGAACCGCTTTTTGTTCTCCTTTCAGCAGCAGGCAACATAATGAAGGTTGCTTTGACTGGTAATAATCTACACGGTTTGCAGCCTATTGAGGTGAACGCTGTGCCCTTCCTGTCTGAACTATATCTCTATAAATGTGGTCTGACAAACGCTGACATTGAGCCACTTTTCTCTCTTCTTTCATCAGCAGGCAACACAAAGAGAGTTGTTCTGAAAGGCAACAATTTCCACGGTTTGTCGCAAGTCAGCATCCACCCTCTTCCCTCTCTTCGCACACTGGATTTATCTGAGTGTGGTCTACAAAACAGTGATATCGGGGAAGTGTTTCGTTTATTGTCATCTCTCGGTCATGTGGTTGAATTCCATTTAAATGACAACAGTTTTCAAAGTAACGCATTTGAGGCATTGGCTTTTGTTCCTTCGTTGGAGTTGGTTTTCCCCTAAGGGTTCATCGATCATTGAACGTACAGATTTTATTACAAAGAAGACTATATTTCATAAGCAACATATGGCATTCACTAATACCATTAGTGCAACACTTATGGCTCACAGCCAAATGATACACCTGAGCGAGGACACAACTCCGTGGCATGCCACTCCAACACAATGCCCAACAGACAACCAATCAGAATCTACCAACACAAGCACTTCCAATCCTAACACAACCTGCTTAAGGACCAGCATCTCCAGCTCTCCTCAGTCTCATGACGATGACTAAAGCAGGCTAGTCGAAGCGTTGAGACCAAAGACAAGTTCTTTTAGAACTTAAGGCAGGATTGTTCTTATTAGAACTAAAACTACTTAGTGAAAGTTGATAATAAACAGGACGAGATCTTTTCAGAACTAAATATCTACTGGGCAGTACCGTAGTTATTACCACATGTTGTTACCACAAACCAAAACGATACTAATACTCCACCATACAAAGCCTAAAATATGACATTTCTGTCCTCATTTCTAACAACTAAAATGAAACAACCAGTACCTTTCCTTTCTTGTCACTAAAATTGCCATGGGTTCTCATATTTGAAATCTGTGTTTGTCTGATTCCCTGGATTAATTTTGCCCAAAAAATAGTAAGAACTGCAACTACCCAAACTAAAGTTGTTCTATAACCAAATATTTGGGTTATAATTTCTGCTAAATTTAACCAAAACATGTGGTCACACAAGACTAAATTTAATTTGGTCTTGTATAACTACAACTTTCGGTTGAATTTAACACAAATTCTAGCCCAAACGATTCGTCACCGTCACCACGAAGTGACACTAACATCCAAAAATCAATATTTTACGATTTCGATTTTTTTCCTGATTTGTGATTAATTACACATAATCTATCACCTCAAGAAGTTACTAAACACATAGTTAATTAGTTTTGTCAAAACATCAATTAACATTAATGAACGTTTGCAACTTAATAGGTCAAAACCGGAAAATGCGTTTTCACGAAGTGTACTTTGTCAAAACATCAATTAACATTAATGAACGTTTGCAACTTAATAGGTCAAAACCGGAACATGCGTTTTCACGAAGTGTACTTTACCATTCTTTTGCATGTAAACTACCTGCACACTAAGGCGGATCCAGAAAAAAATTGGTTTCGTATTTTTTGGGGGGGGGGGGCATGGCCCCCTTTGCCCCCCCCCCTGGATCCGCCCTTGCCTGCACACTACGCGTCAAAAACGGGTTTTGCGTTTTCACAAAGTAACACAAATGTCACGTGATACGCGCGACTCACATCTGGCGTCATCACGAAGTAGCGCTAACCCAAAAGCTAATACACATGGTTAGCGTCACTTCGTGAAAACTCGAACAGCGAGTATTCTGATTTTAGAGTTTTTACAAAGTGACCTTAAGGTTGATTAGTTGATAACTCATTAATATTATTTGTTTGCAATACAAATCATACATAAACGTGACATTCAAGATCCCAGCTTTCAGACAATGTAAAAATACGACTAATACGATGTTCAGATCACCGTTTCAAAACATCACCAACTTAAATCGCTTGTATCTCGAAACACACATTTTCCACTTCGCGGGGGTTAAGGTCACTTCGTGGTGTCGGTGAAGAATTAAAACCTACTGGGGCAAATGAGGAATGTCCCATGTTTTGAGTAATCATTGCCTGAAGTTGTATGAACTAGACAAACCATGTCAAAATCAATATGTTTTCTTCTAATTTTTGAGTAGTCACGGTATCCAAGATTCACACTCAGCATTTTTTCACACTCCCAAAAGTTGGAAACTGAAGAAAGTTTTCAACTGCCGTGGGCGGCGCGAATTCGACACATTTATTTTTTTCAAAACCGTTTTTTTCTTTTCAATATGAGGTTGGAGAATTTAGGCGGGACACTGTTGAAGTTCCTGTGGCATATCTTTGGCATAATTTAAGTTCAAAAATAATTTATGCTTCAAAAATTAGGTATCAATGAAAGCCAATGATTGGCGCTTTAACAGGATGTACGTAACTTGAACAGTCAATGGTGGGGTTTATTCCTCATTTACGATATGGCACGTCACAATTGGTTACAGAAAAACCCAGTTTTGGGTAGTTGCAGTTTTCACCCTCTCTTGGGTTAAAATAACCCAGCCAATTCGCAATGTACCGAGGACCCTTAATGCTGCCTTTCTTGGTATCTATTTCTTTCAAAATTTCGGGACATTTCTTTGGAAAATTTGTGACCGAAAGCTTTCCAAAGACTTGGACTCAAGCCTTTGCGTTAATGTTATCCCCATCAGAAAGGAAAGAATATATCCAATTACTGACTTCCCTGCTTACAATGGCAAAAAGTGTATTGAAAATTATTGAAAGTATACAAGATAATGGACAGTGGAAATAGAGATGTACATTCCTTCTGTTCATGCTTAAGATGTGTTTACATGTTAATAATTTGTATTGTATAAAGTTGTTAAAACAAAACCAAAAAAAATCATATATGAGACCTAATGTATAAAGGGCTCTTATTCGCTGAATTTGATTGTACCTACGTGTCACCTGAAATAATACAATCGATAACATTAATTAAAGTCATGTTGAAAATGCCAACATTCTAGAGCCAAATCGTTTGTTAATTCCGATATTATATTTTGTGTTATCTATGTATGAAAACGCCGTTTAAATCTAAGGAAGAAATTACTTGTTTGTAGAAAATGGATTTTAAACTTTGACACCTGCATGTTTAGAACAGATAAAACACCTATCCGATTTAAGAATTAACAAAAAGTCAGTTGTTATACTCATTTGCAAATGAAAAGATATTGTTGTAAGTATGCAAGACTGTCATTACTTGTGGCTATTATCAAATGAAAAATTGGATTTTCATTAGTTCCCTATGTTATATTATTCAGCGCATGAGAGTATTGCTACGACGCCATTTTCGGGTAGAAAAGTGAGCATCTCGTAAACTGTTGCGAAATTTTGTATTTTTTTTCACTTGCTTCAACCCTATCATTCAGGATTGAAGAAAATGTAATTTATGTTTTTGTACAATCCTTTTGTACCAAAATATATACATACAATTCGAATATGGCTCACTCTCGAATATGGCTAACAAAATGAGTAATAAGTAAAAAATAGTTGAGAAAGCGTATTATCGGTTACGGAATTTTGAACAGAAACACCGTTTTAAAGTTCTGTCCACGGATTACACAAAAAAGATGAATGTTCTTTCAGCAAAAAAGGAAAACAATTCACAAAGGTTTTGCTAAAAGAATACTCGATCCGTGGACAGAATATTCAAACGGTGTTTGTGTTAAAAAAATTCCGTAACTTGACAAGTGCATGAATGATTTAATAATTCTTTTACTAAAAGATAGCTTATGAATTCGGCTTTCATATCCTACATTTTGAAAGTGCCATATGCAGAACTTCATTCAAAAATCGTCCGACCGTTTGAGTTTCCTTCTTTTTTTTTACTCACCCTGTAAGGGCCAAAAGCCCCCCCCCCCTCAACATTTTCCGTTATAGCCTCTAAAAAAATGTTTTCGCGACCCGAGCTGTTATGACTGTTTAGCCTTGAGCTTTGAGCATCTTTTGATATCAAAAACATAAAAATTTGACCACGGGTTGCCGCGTAGCGAAAAATTTTCCGGCGCTACGCGCCGTGAAAACTGAATTTTCGCATATACGTCGTGTACACAGAGCAGAATTGCCATTCGTACAAATGAATAATTAATTAGCCATAATTCCAAAACCCTTTGACCTATAGTCATGAAAATTCTTGGGTATGTTTAAGAAGAGTTGCTCTATGCATGTGCCGAGTTTCAAAAATTTTCGTCACTCGATGGCCGAGATCTTAGGGGGGGCGGAACCGCCCCCCCCCCGCCCCCCCCCCCCCCCGGCCCCCCCCCCCCGGCCCCCCCCGGCCCCCCCCCCCCCCCCCCCCCCCCCCCCCCCCCGGCTGAGAGATGGTCAAAATAACCCGGCTCCTTTAGGGTTAAAGTGACTCTCCAGGAAATTAATCTGAGGTCGGATTACATAGGGGATACGTACCGTCGTGCTGAAAGTTACCTTCAATTTTAAGTTTGTGCATTTAATATCTACCTTGAAGTTTGAGTGGCGAGAACAAATCAGGGTATTATTGTGCCATCTGGTTGTTTTATTTCTAAAGACGAAAAACCAATTACGATAAAAAGGTTTGTCAAAACAATATCTCGTAGTTTGACGATTTTATAAAGGCCCAGTAAACAAATTAAGAAAAAGAGGTGTTTTGACGAATTTCCATCAGAATTGCGACGAATTTTTAGATTTGTATTTTAAAGAAACAACTTAAGGAACACCCATTATATAAAAGAAGCCTATTATAGCTTGTTGTGCGCAAAGGCAGTAAAATTGTGTAAACCAATCTAGCAACAAGATTTCTGTCATTATTAAATGTGACTGATGCCATACATTACCGTATTAAGTACAACTGCCGTTTTATTGAAACATTTCTGAATAAAACGATTTAGCAAGAGGATCATGTGACGGATAGATTTTTATTGAAATTAATTAAGATTTCTGTTAGTTAAAAAAAGGATATTTAGCTGGTGCAAGGCTTCACAAAATGTTATAGTTCCGTATATTCCCTTCCCGTCCGCATCACTGCCTCTTCCGAACTTTCTGAAAGAAATATCACATCACCTTCAAACAAACCAATGTTTTCCCACGGCAATGGGTTAAGACTTTATGTCCAAGAATCTACAAAAATGGGAGGGGAGGCCGGGGGATGAGGTGTTGCAATCAACGCACAAAGGAACTGAAGCGATCGACCAGAATGTGCAATTTATAGTGATGGACGTTATTAATTCAGAAAGTTAATTATCGTTTGGATTTATGTTCGTTTATGTAAATATTAAACAGTCTTACGCAGTAGCGGATGTCCCCCCCCCCCCTTCATCCGCTGTAGAAAAATATGATACTAGTAAAATGGGGCAATACATAATACAATGTGACTTAAAGTTCCTACCTTATTCTCAAAATGCCTTACAATGGGGGAGAGGGAATGACCAGGACTCATTTATCAGGGACACACCTTCACTCAAATAAATCAACAACCCCCGTCTCTATGCGTTTCCTGAAAACTAGATCCACCCTCAATCGTACCTGTTAGGGTGGGGAGGGGGGTTAACCAATGCCAGTCCAACAACCCATAGCGCCCTCTTTAAGAACCCCATCTCCGCGAAAGGGATATTTTATAGCCCTACCGTACCTGCTTGTAGACAAGGCTGAAGAATTTTTTGTTTGTTTTAATATGGGCCCACCTCCCCCTCTTCCCTTCAGACAATGAAATAGATTTTCTGCTAGTGCTTTAAGACATTGTTTTGTCGTCCAAAACCTTTTTTTCTGATGAATGAACATGTAGCTTCAAATTCAGAAAACGCCCTCTTGTGGTATGGTCCTGCTGCGCTCGTTAAGCTGGAGAC